AAATTCACATCTCCGGATTTCTCGTCTCGCCACGAGTCTATACATATCAAAATCATCAAAATCGGGGTCCATTTGACCCCACAAATTCCTATTTTAAACTCTCTTAAATTCAAGCCCTAACCACCATTTTTGACCTTTGATTCCTTGATTATTCAGTCCAAATTCATGTTTATACACCATAAAATTAAGCTCTAAGTCCAAGAGTTCATACCTGATAATAGCCCTCGAATCCCTCTTCAAAATCGCCTCAAAGCTCTCAAGGTTCGGAGTCCAAAATGCTACTCTTTCAAAAATTCGCGAGGAAGATGTTTTCACTTAACCTGCCAGTTATTTCCGCTTCTGCGGATTAATTCCCGCTTTTGCGCCTTCCGCTTATGCGGTCAACGTCCGCTCCTGCGGACCTTTCACTTAAGGCGACTTTCCGCTTCTGCGGTCCAACTTCGCATCTGCGGGACCGCTTAAGCGACCCAATGTCCCGCTTCTGCGGAACCTGACCTGGGCTCCTATTTCCGCTCCTGCGAGGCCTAGCTCGCTTCTGCGAGACCGCATCTGCGATCTCTTTTCCGCAGATGCGGAAACACCTGCTGCAACCAAAAACCTGCAATTTTTCAACTTCAAATTCCTTCCGTTAGCCACCCGAAATCACCCACGAGGCCCCCGGGACCTCAACCAAAGTTACCAACACATCTTAAAACATTATTCAAACTTGTTCCAATCCTCAAAACATGTCTAACAACGCTAAAACCATTAAATCACATCGAATTCAAGCCTAAGTTTCTTCAAAACTTCCGCAATATGCATTCGATCAAAACTCGACCCAAAACATCTCCGAATGACCTGAAATTTTGCACACACGTCCAAAATCACCTAACGGAGCTACAGAAACTCTTGGAATTCCATTCCGACCCTCGGATCAAAATCTCACCTACCAACCGGAATTTGCCAAAATACTAACTTCGCCAATTCAAGCCTAATTCTACACCGGACCTCCAAAACCAATTCCGATCACGCTCCTAAGTCACAAATCATCCCCCGAAGCTAACTGAATCTCCGGAAATCACATCCGAGCCCTCTAACCAACTAGTCAACTTCCGGTTGACTTTTCCAAAACAAGCTTTCCTTAGAGAGGCTAAATGTCTCATCTCCTACCAAGACCAAACCAATCCAACTCGATTACCCCAAATACCGATAATGAAGCATAGAGAAACATAATATGGGAAAAACGGGGCGGTAACTCACGTGACGACGGGCTGGGTCGTCACATCCTCCCCAACTAAAACAAACGCTCGTCCTCGAGCGGGTCAAGGAACATACCTGGAGTCTCAAACAAGTGAGGATATCTGCTCAGCATCTCCCGCTCGGTCTCCCAAGTAGCCTCCTCCACGGGCCGTTCTCTCCACTGTACCTTCACTGAAGCTATATCCTTTGATCTCAACTTTCGAACCTGACGACCCAAAATAGCCACTGGGCCGAGCTGAAGTCTAACACATGGGCCGGGTCTCCAACATACTTCCGGAGCATAGAAACATGAAATACCGGGTGAACTCCCGACAAGCTGGGTGGCAAAGCAAGCATGTAGGCCACCTCCCCAACTCTCCTAAGTATCTCAAAAGGACCAATGAACCGTGGACTCAACTTTCCTTTCTTTCCAAATCTCATAACGCCCTTCATAGGCGAAACCTTCAACAAGACCTTCTCGCCCACTATATAAGATACATCTCGAACCTTCTGGTCCGCATAACTCTTCTGACGCGACTGAGCTGTACGAAGTCTCTCGTGGATCACTTTCACCTTATCTAAGGCATCCTGGACCAACTCTGTCCCCAATAGTCTAGCCTCGCCGGGCTCAAACCAACCAACCGGAGATCTACACCGTCTCCCATATAAGGCCTCATACGGCGCCATCTGGATACTGGATTGATAACTGTTGTTGTAAGCAAACTCTGCAAGTGGCAAGAACTCAGCCCAAGAACCTCCAAAATCAATAACACAGGCACGCAACATGTCCTCCAATATCTGGATAGTACGCTCGGACTGCCTGTCCGTCTGAGGATGAAATGCGGTGCTCAACTCTACCTGTGTACCCAACTCTCGCTGAAAAGTCCTCCAAAACTGGGAAGTAAACTGAGTACCCCTATCTGAGATGATAGAAACTGGGACCCCATGCAACCGAACAATCTCCCGGATGAAAACTCTCTGCCAGCCGCTCTGAAGAATAGGTACGTACACACTGGAATGAAGTGCGC